AATAAGTGATCATTTTTTATTCAAACCAACCAAGTCTTCCCCCAGGTCAGAAACAGCTTTGCCTTCAGCAGTGCTGTGGTAAGCAGGGAACCTTTGGGGTTGAGCTCATCTCAGAGGTATGGAGGGATCTGAATCCAGCTGAACCAAATCACATTATAGATACCTTGGGCCAAAATAAAGTTCCCATGATGAAGTTTGTCTGTGAGCTCCATGAGTCTTTAACTTTCTCAGTTTATAAGATTATTTGGATCCTGTAGCCACTAAGAATTTGGAGATAAAAATGACACGATAGCCTCATTTAAAAAAAAAAAAAAAAGACAGGATTGCCCAAAATACTGAATTAAGGAAATTACAGGCTGCCAAGAGGAACAGAGAAACTATCACATGGATGTTTAAAATGCAGTCTTTACTGAAACACTCCAGATATTACAAAGCTATCTTTTATTCTTCTTTACAGACTGTACATTTATCAACGCAGAGTTAGCCTTTCCCTTATCTGTGCTAGTGATGTTCCTGGATGTGCGTGGGTTCTTTGAGTCAGAATGAATCCCCGATGGCTTCCATTTCAAATAATCTGTAACAAGATACCATTTTGTTTTTCCTTGGTGTCCTTTCACTAAGGTGGGGGAGGTGTTTGGGGTAATGCAGAGTTACCAGATGGTGGTAGTTGCTAGAATGGAGGACACTTTCTTGGTTCCCACTTTCATGTAGTGCCTGAATGTGCTCTTTTCCTGCCAGTGTTCTCCTCTGCCCTGTTGCACACCCCCTCCTCACGCGGATGTGTATTTACCACAGGTCTTTATCCTGCTCTCCCCAAGAAGACAGAGCAAACAGAGGTACATGAAGCCATCTTATGCAGTAAAAATGTGGAATTTGAACATTGCTACACAAGTATTTTATAAAAAACAAGTCTGTAAAGAAATTTCTTATGTAAACATACAGGGGAATAAAGACTTTTATCTGTTCAAATGGGAGCCCTGATGTTCAGAGATGTAAACAACTTAAAATAGCTGCTGTTTTCCTGAGCTGAAAACCCACTTTAGCAAAAAGGATTTAAGCGCACTATTGAATGCTAATAAGTACCTGAGCACAGGGAAGTGTGGCCACGTGTCAGAGACATGCCGAGGACGTTTTAATGAGCTGTGGCTACCCTGGCTTCACCTTGTGGTCAGGGAGAATTAAACCTGTGTGCGCCTGCATTTGATATGACCAGACACCAGGTTGTAAAATGGAGCACGGATTTGCAGCTCTCCTCCTCTAATTTAATCTTTAATATACCCAGGCCAATTTAATTAAACATGTTATGTTGACAACAGCAGTTTTGGGCCTGGGGAGAAATCTCTCTCGTTTAATTGCTCCGTTGGCTTGAGAGGCACAGCATCACTAGGCAGTGTTGGCTCCCAGCAAATCCCTTATTCCCTAGTCGTGGGTTTTAATGCAACTGCACAGCATATGGTAGAAGCAAATGCTTAATTTTATCATCTAAACCAAAAGGTCATGGAAATTATTATAAGGGAAAGTAAAATTCTGGTTGTGCATGATATATTGTATTAAGGAATATCCAGCCAGGAATTTTAAGTCTCCAGATTTTAATTTTTTAAAAGGATGCTGATGACCCTCACTATATCCATCTGATAAAATTTTCAGAGTAAAACTTTCCCAAATCATTCAACACTTTTCATTGCTTTGGAAGTTAATAGGGAGTTAGGATAGTTGCCAAGTCATCAAATACTTTTTAGGACTCCTTTCCTACTCTCTGAAGCATGTGAGCTCTTACTGAAATCTATGTAATTTTGGAGCCTCAAAATAGACTAAAATGGAGTTTTGAAAAGTGTGCTTAACCTTAACCTGGCACACAATTCTACATCAGAACAAGAAAAAGAAATATTTTTACTTGTTGCTTAATTGAATGTGCTAAACCAAAATAAAAAGGGACATGACCCAGTTTGGGGGAATTAGAACAAAATACCCTACCTTAAGCTTCATGATAAAGAAGACTGCAGCCAGGTCCTGGGCCTACACGTCCCACCCCACCCCTCCCCCAGAACAACTGTCTATCTTCATTGAGCTCTGCGGTCACAGGGATCTGCTGTATATGCCATTGATTACCAAAGAACTGGACCAAGGTGTGAGGTTAAATGAGTATAAACCCTTTATTGCTAAGTAGGCAGACTACTTCAGACATGTTTCCTGACGGTACAAGGCTGTCTTCATATACAAGTACTGTTCACCCTGAAAACACATGCTTTCCCTACAACACACTCATGTTCCGAAAATGACCTCTAACTCTCAACAAGACTTAATGTCCATCTTCTGTTTAGTTATTTGGAATCTTTACTTCTCTCGACTCCTTTGTTTCTTGTGCGGCTGCCGCAGCCAGAATGCCCTGAGGGAGTGTGGTTGTCTGTGCTTTTTCATATCCACCAGCATTTCTTTGGTCTCCAGAGTGCCAGGCTTGGAGACTTGCAGAGGGTGATTGCTCTCTGCCTTGGTCACATTTGTCTAAAAAGAATGGGCAGGTTGAGAGACTTGGCCTTCTCAGGAGAAACCTTTGCATGTATTTTTCCACTCTTGTAAGCAGATTCATGCTTGTTTTGAAGGATAGGAGACTGGTTTTCCCTTCAGATTTGATGCTATAGTATTTTTTGTGACTATGTGTGTGAATTTTAAAAATTGCTGGAACTTTAAGTATGATTTTCCCATTGCTCACCTTAAAGGTCATAGAATATACTCTGCGTTGTCAGACTTCCAGCTGACTTGACCAAGAGCCCACTTTTTAACAGAAGTAGTTGATGAGTTGGGCATGTTCTTCCATCCCGTCCCATTCTGGATATGGGCACCCCTGATTGGTACTTAGAGTTCTCAGAATGTAATCTGACACTGCAGGCACCCAGAGCACCCCAGGACAATCTTGGCGCACAAATTGATTCCACTGAATTCAATTTAAATTTCCCCAAACCACTTAACTCCAGTCAAACTAATGTTCATTTTCATTATTATCTGTGTAATGTCAGAGTTGGTCATTGGCTTGACTAAATTTGCCATTTTTTTCCTAAGAGATATTTTGTTCGCCCATAGAACCAGCTTAATAACATCAACTTTCAGGGTAGTTTTGGAAGTTAAGAAATTGTGCCTTAGTTTTGGCAACTGAAAACTTTGTCCATCTGATGCTGTTAGAAAGCGTTTCAAGGAATTTGAGCGGCCCCTTCATACCACTTTGCTTGGCATATCTTAATTTTGGAAAACTTCTCTTCCCCCTTTCATTTGAATTTCCTCCCAGAAATCATCATTTGGGAATCACTGTGAGATCTAATATCAGTATACTTGCCTGAGAGGTTAGAATTATGTCTCTCCACATAAATTGCAAGGGAGAAGGCGTTTTATTTCCTGTCCCCTGACTAATGCTTTCGTATCACTATGCAAGTGCACATATTAAAGCTGTAATACAGGGAAACATTTATCCCCTTCAGAATCAACTTATTCTCCAAATACTATTCAGAAAGCCATTTGGCACCAGTATAGAATTTAACTTAAAGACTCTAATTTGGAATTCATCAAATGCATTTCAACTGTTAGAAAGGGAAATAAATATGGGGGGACCACCTTGTTGTTTCTGGAAACAATATTTAAGGTCAGAACTATTTAAAAAGCACTGCTCAAAAGTTACAGAATTCAGAAAAGCATAGTATTTTTGTACAGCATCTTCTAAAATGTTCAGGTCTCTCTCTGCGCCTCTTTACAATGTAATATCTCCAAGTGACTGGTTTCCCAATAAAGTGATTTTGATGCTGCTTCTGCTGTGTTCTGTGTGCTCAATTTAAGCAGAAACTTAAACAGGGGAATATTGTTAACAGAAGTTTCTACAAGCTAATGGTTTGGATAGAGGGGGAGAGGGTTATGTGGGGAGGGGATGATTGAATTACCTCTGTACAGAGGTTCCAAGTCATCTGTAAAATCCAAATCATTGTACCAAATGTTCTTATTCTGGTGGGTTGGGAAACCCATGATGAAATGACACCTTTACCCCCAACCACTCTTTCTCTGGATTCTTCTTGCTTAGTTACATATGCCTTTTTCCTGCCCTTTTGCTAACATGTGCCCAATGACATACTTCTAACCTGCTAATATTTCTTGGAAGGTAAGCTCTCTTGCATTCTGATAATTGTCTATTTGATGTTAAAAGCCAGAGCACCCTGAGACACTTCTACCTAGATAGAAATAGACTAGTACATTAGAATCTGCAAATACTTCTGTAATTTCCCATACATTTTACTCTGTTTAAAGAAATTTATGATGGATTCATTTAAGCAGAGGAGATCTTTGCTAACTTAGAAGACCAAAAACAAAATTCCAGGGCAAATCCAGCCGAAGTTGGAATTTAATATGCCTTAGCTTTTTCTCCTCCCCTGAAAAAGTGCCTTCAGCATTACTATTTGAGGCGCTTTTGTGCTCTTAGAGCAGTGCTCGTGATGTCAATCATCAAGTAAACTCGCATTTATCAAGCAGGCATGTTTTGCTGCTTTTCGGGGGCAAAGGATGGGTGTGTCCTCAGGCATCAGCAGAGCATGACCACTTGGCAGATACTGAATTGAACCTGTTCCCGGACAGTATTTCTGCATACTCCAGAACCACCCCGGTATACGTGAGGTGAATGGCTGGTTCGTTTCCATTCCCCCTGGGCTAGTGCCAGCTAGAGCAGGTGTCAGTGCCCAGCCCGCGGGTCGGGGCATCACGTGGTTGCGCTGAGTGTCTGTGCCTAACGCCTTCATTTCCTCTCCTGCACCTCGTGCTTATCATGTTCCAAGGTGTGAGACCGTGGTTGGTTGTGTTCCAGTTTGTGTGCAGTGTCCTTGCCTGACTTTTGTTTTTCCGTTTTTCCTTTTCCATTTTCAACATCTATTATTTGGTCCCGCAATGTTACTGCCGCAGGTTGACCATTAAATGTTTCAAGGACAATGGAACTGACCTGTGCATTAATTCTGCATTTTGTGCTTTTCTAGGTCTCCAGAGAGAGCCCAATCCCTGTCCTGTAATAACTGTAGAGCACTTTAAAGAATCAGCAGGAGTTAAAGGCCTTCCCCTGTATCCAGATCCCTCCAGAGTACCTGACACGAAAACGCAAAACAATTTAGAATCCGACTACTTGGCCAGAGATGGCCCTTCAAGCAACAGCTCCTTCCACAGCAGCGAAGAGGAAGGGACTGACCTCGAGGGGGACATGCTGGACTGCAGTGGGTCTCGACCTCTCCTCATGGAATCTGAAGACGAAGACGAGAGTTGCAAACCCCCACCGGGGAAGCTGGGAGGAGCCACTCCCTTCCCTCAGCCAGAGCTCTCCTCTGAGCAAGCAAAGGCCGTGCAGAGTGGAAGAAAGAGCCAGTTCCAAGCCCTCACCCAGCCAACCACCGATGGTGTTGGTGAGCCAGATGTTTTTGCCACAGCCCCCTTCAGGAGCTCAAGGGTTCCAGCTGATGAAATGGACATTTTCTCCAAAGCCCCATTTGTCTCCAAGGGCAGCGTGGCTCCTTCCCAGCCAGAGGAGGCGGATGTGTTCCTGAGAGCTCCTTTTACCAAGAAGAAGAGTGTGGAGGAGTTAACGGTTGCCCAGAGTGCCCCCCAGGAGTCGCCCACGCAGGCCGGTCTTCTCGGGCAGACAGATGAGGTCTCCCTGCTCCCAGGCCTCGACAGAGCAGTGTACGCCTCTGTTCGATCTCAGTATTCCGTGGCTGGTTTTGCCCCACAGTCCACCCTCCCCTCCCATTCTGTGCAAGCAGCAGACCATCCTGACAGCATCTCACCCAGGGGATCCTCCCTGGAATCGGGGGGCCATGCTAATGACAGAAACAAAGGACTTCAGCCTCAGAAAGAAGCTGTCTCAGGCCCCATGGCTGGCAAACCATTCCGCCCCCAGTCTTTATCCAAATACTCCCGTCACTATAGCCCAGAAGATGAGCCAAGTCCTGAAGCCCAGCCCATTGCTGCCTACAAAATTGTTTCGCAAACCAACAAGCAGTCCATAGCTGGCTCTGTTTCCATCACATCCCTTTCCTCCAGGACTACGGAGCTGCCAGCCGCTGATCCTTTTGCTTTAGCACCCTTTCCTTCCAAATCGGGCAAGCAGAAACCTTAGGAGCAATGCCTGAGCCTTAGGCCTCTGTCTCGACTCCACCCTCAATAACCCACCGCACCTCTCCCAGCTGAGCCTTCGTAAGAAGAAATATATCAATTATCTTTCAGTTCCCTGGGTCAGAGCAGGTCATCGGTCAGCAAACTCAGCTGCAGTGATACTTAGTCAAAACCCCTGTAAGTATGCTCATGTCCTTTTTTATATTGATTTCTGGACTTTCAGGCCTTTCCATCTCCACCTCTACCCAGAACTCGGCTCGCCCTCCTCCCCTGGAAACTGTTTAAATCCAGAAATCCTTCACCCTAACCCCAAAGGGGCCATGTTATTGCTAGTCCTGTTCTGAGTCATGTACATTGAGGAGTCAAGATTAGTCCCTCCAGGACTTGATTTAATACTCTTGAAAAGGGGATATTTCTGGAAAGAAATGCAAGATGAAAATCCTGCACATCAAGAGGAAGTGTAAGCCTGCAGATATAATCATTCCTGTCAAGCCAGCAGCTCTAGGATTCTCCGCATCTGTTTCCGAGTCTGCGCCAGCCAGGCTGGCCCTCTTTCGTGCGTGTCTGTGGGTGTTAGTGTGTGTTAGATCTTTTCCAATGTAGAAATGCAAACATGAGCTATCTGGGCATACGTCTCAGTGTTGAGCCTTCCCCACATCCATGCCGGTTTGTAAATCAGTATATGAGTGCACAGGTGTGTGCGCATGTGCATGCATGTGCACGGGTATGTGCACACAGGAAGCATTTTTTCTGTAGGATAATCCTGTCCCACCATGCCTACCTCCACAATCACTCATTTACTGGCATTTGTCTCCTGCACTAACTGACTTGAAACCCTATTTTTATTTCTTTTCTCGTGGCAAAATTGACTTCATTGGAAGGTATAGGAAAATCCTGCTGAAACAGGCTTCAGAGTAGATTTCTTTTTCTCCCCAATTTGCTATTTGTGATTAACAAATTTCATTCACCTGGTCATGAAAAATTAATTATTTTTCCACATTTTCTCCTCAGAACAATACAAAAGAGCACCTGAGTACAGTTTCAATCACTGGGTGTGTGGTCTTAGTAACTTTTAAAAGGTACTTAAAAGCCTTAGGTCTGAACCCTCCATGCTGTGATCATGAGACTGGGCTACACACTAGGTTTGCTCGTTTGTTCCAGACCCTTGCCGTTTTTCTCCACTGCCTCTTGCGGAAGTGTAAATCTGCAACTTGTGAATAAGTTTGTATGAGAGGATGGAAAAGAGCTGAATCTGTTAGCTGTGGAAACCTTTCTTCTTTCTCCTCTTTAGATGTTGAAGTAAGCCGGATAAATGACTGACTTGTGTTTTTGAAATGTGTTCTCTTTTTGGAATGATCTGACTCATTCCTAGCCGTTTTTGTACCTTTATTATTAGTGCCTTAAAATGAAATTTCTGTCTCGGGAAGACTTCTGCTGAGGATACTCAACTTAAAGGGAAGAGCTGCTATACCGTGTTTCAACGTGAAAGCTTCCTGTGACTTACGGTAAATGTTAGGGATTTTTTCCCCCATTAGCTGGAGAAATTGGGTGAGTTGCTTACCAAACAAGATGAATGATTTAAGAATTCCAGGAAAGTCATCCAAGAATCAAGCCTGAGTGTCAAATTCTATTGCACTTGATGAGGTGTGGTAGTCTTTATATTTAAAGTTCATGGATCTTGGCAGTAAAATATTAACAACTGCCTCTTAAGACTTTTTCTAGTTTTGTCTCCACCTATTTCAAATGTCCAGGTTAAAAGATAAATAATTGGCACTGGGTCAGGGCTACCAGCAATGGTTTTCCAACTGAGGTTTCTTTGTGCCAGAGACAAATGTCTTTCACTTTGTTAGATGCTCAGTGTTCATTGTAACAGTTTTCTTTCTCCCAATGATCATTTCTGATTTTTCTGTGTAACAGTGGATGCAAAATTATCTTTCCAGTTGAGTGAATTCCTTTTAGCTAATGCATATGGAACTTTGCACCCCAAACTCTTCCCTTTGATATTATCAATTAAAACCCTCACAGGCAGGAATCAAGAGGATAGGAATATTCAGGAGAGTTCTCACCCCAAATCAGAAGCTCTAAAAAAGTCAATCATTCTGATTCACTCTTCCAAATATTCAGGATTACTACCTCCATAAAAGACCTGCAAATGTTTTTCCTTTGATTATTTGATCATATCCTAATCAAGTAGCCATTTTAGTTCTCAAGATAAAGTCAATAAAATCATTGTGATTTTTATTATGTAGTTGAATCATTTGTCAAGTATGGACTGGTAACCTGTTTTTATTCTCACTGGAGACCTATGATGGTTGGAGACTCTAAATACCTTCTTTGAATAGGAAATTAATATAAACACATACAAATTACTGTTGTATTACTGACACAGGAAACTTTTTTTTTACTATGGGATTACATTAATTATTAGCTTACATAACTGGTGAATTCTGCATGATCTTCTTTGGATCATATAGGATAAATGCATCATTGAAAGATAAAATGTTCTTGCCAGAAGCCATCCTGAATCTGGAAATCTGGAAAATTTAGTTTTAAGGGAATCAGGAGTGCTCAGGGTGCTTTGAATTAGTAGTAAATGCATGTTTCCAACAACTATGCTGCAGTAGGTTAACATTAAAACTAAAAAGGAAATATATAGTCAACAAAAAACTGCACTTTTTTTTAGTTTGTTTCATGTGTTACTTGCTTTGCACATCTGATAGGAAATGCAGGAACTTGTGGCCTTTCAGTGGAGCGCAGTGAGCCAGAATGTATTTAGAACAAAGCATTGAATCACAATATGTACTGATGAACTCATAAAGAATTCCCACTAATTGACTAACAGGCATTGTTGAAATAATGAATTATCTCATGTGTGGTGAAAATATTTAACATATCTGCTTCTTGGGCTCACATACAGCCCATAGTTCCAAACCCTTGTTAGACTGGGAAATTGAATGAACAAAATTTGATGCTAAAGCAGATGCTTGGCAGGACCCAAGGGAATCTAGGTCATAGACTCTATTTCATTTTGGGCCCATTCATTGTTGAGTTGAAAATTTCATATGTGTAGGTTAATGAGTATGTGTTTATATGCCCATTTTAGCTCTAAGTTTAACTTGGCAACCAAGATATTTCTTTCTAAACTTCCAGGAAAAATACCAGTATCTTATTGACCTATTATTTAAGTTTTAGAATACATGTATATCAGTGTTTTCAACATGTCTATATGATATTCAACAGACATTTCACAGACTCATAAAGTAGCAGGTTTCAGTTTATTTAAAATAAGTGTAATCACCAGACTGATTTGACAATAGGAATTCAATCATGCAGTATTTGATTCCATAAAGAAAAGTCATCAAGGCCTAGATCTTATAATATGTATGAATTATATAAAATAGGAAACTATCATATAGGAAACTAAAGAAGGGTAGGAGCAAACTCTTTAACAGGAGGGATACAACTTAAAATAGAATCACTTAGGTCCCTTTAATAAATGTTATACTCTGTTATGTCTTTGGAATTGAAATTGGAGAACACTTGCCAGTCAACTGTGGAACGGCTGTTGTCCACACAGATGCAGTTTTTGAGAAAACTGAAAAATTTCTGAAAAATATGAAACCCAGGTTACGTTGATTAAAGGTACATAGGAGAGCTGCTGCAAGGGCCACAGCTTCTAAGGAGGCAAGGAGCACCTTGTAAGTGCCAGAGCCACCCCTGAGTCCTGATCCTCAAATCTTGCCTGATGGAGTAAACATGACGATTTTAAATGAAATTATGTAATATAAATTCTTAGTTTTTCCAATGCCTTTGTCAACTATTACTTGTAGTTTGTTTTGTTCTTTTTTTGTTTTAACCACCAGGACACTTGCAAACTTGTGACTTGTGAAGTTCACTTAAGGAGGAATTCAAAATGCTTGAAAATAAAAGGTAGTACCTAGTTGGGAATTGTTTTTGTGTTCTTTTGCTACAAAATAAACTTGCCAGGTTGCTGAGAGCACCAAGCTGGCTCAGTTTAGGTGTGGGAATTTACACCGGCAGTGTCTTGAGGCCCAGAACGCCACCTTGCTCTCTGACGTCCTGGTCCTACCGGCCTCAGTAGCAGCTTGATTTTTATTAGGAAACAGGCCTCCCACGTGTGGTGCCCAAGATCCCATCATCAAGACACTGGCAGACATAGCTCTTTCCTGTTCTTTCTTTACCTCTGCAAGTCTTCTTGGCTCATGTTCCTTTTCCTGTTCCCACTTCATTTCCTCACATGACATTCTCCTATTATGACCACACCAGTAGGTAGATAAGAGGTATGAATGAATGATCATGTTAGTTTTAACTTGCCTTCCTTTTTACTGGAAGCAATGTCTTAAGTTTCAGCCTAGCCTGTGCCAGTCTCACCACACTGGAATAATTCAACGTAAGAACGAAGTGGCTCACCTTCCCTGTTCCTTACAGATAGAAGAAAGGATGAGGGAGGTTGGCAGAACTCCAGCCTTACTCCGTGAAAACACAACCCAAAAGTATCTCTTCACCTCAATCTAACATAGGCCCAGAGTGCCCTGGAATGCAGGGGCAAGTTTATGTGTGAAGGACTCTAGAACAGCTTGTAAGAAAGGCTAAATGTTAACCAACACATTGGTGGCTTGGTCCAGTGTTCCCATAACTTGTAATTACATAAGAAATTTAGTCTGAGCTACTTCCCAGCAATCTCAGTATGTACTGAGTTTATAGTAACAGTGTTTGGTTCTTGAAATCAAGTCAATGTTATCTGTATTACATTGTAATATAACCATATATGCACGTTAAAGGGATCTGTGTGATTCCTTCGGGCAAGGAATTATAGAAATGGTTTTTACCAGTGTCAGTTAAAGTGAGACTTTGAGAGTGAAAGAAGATGATGTAGCCTTTTCACTCTGAAATGGCAAGTCAGTTGTATTTTCTTGAGTCTACCAAAGACTCCTGTTTGGGGAGTGTGAATGGAGTGTGTGTGTGTGTGTGTGTGAGTGTGTGTTTACCCCATGCTTTCTGCCATGGTGTTAACTTAAGACCTCCTAATAAAGGCATCCAAAGAATCCCAAGAGGTGACAGTGGGTAGCCGGCATGAGTAAATTTGGTTCCATTGGTCAACAGCTCTCTGAGTAAGAACTAAAGTTGTTCTAGGTAAATCAGCCATTGCCTGAGCCTCATTTCCACAATAAGCATGCTCTTCTCGTCCTCAAGAATGAAACTCAGTAGGGTTTATCCTGAATTCTTGGCTTATGTGTAGTGCTGGGAGGGAAACAGTGACCAGACCACCACAAGGCCTGCAAGATACTACTTTGAAAGAGAGAATGTTTCAGGTCATTTCTTAGGGACTGGAAACCAAATATGGGCCAGGGACCATGCTCATTCCATGGGGAAGAGGCAAACTCCCTTTGCTGACTGTATTTTGAATTGACCGAATGAGGAGGTTGACCCAGATGAAAGGAGTATTGAGGCCCCCAGACCTCAGAAAATATGTGCATGCAATCTCAAGGGCTGTGAACATGCAAAAGGAAGGGAAAAGACAATTATAAAGTCAATCTTAGTTTTTGCAATACCTCTTATTTGCAGACTATTGGATTTATGTTATTGCACTCCGTGTGATCTATCTTATGTATCTGATAGTTTTTATGAATTGTTTGAGTTGTAAACTCCTATATACTTTATTAAAATGGACCTAATTAAAATAAGTGATGTACTTTGTATTATTTCTTATGTCAGCTTTTCCTAGGATTGAAGAGCTCCATAAGCATTTTAAGTTTCAAAGAACAACTTTTGGTTGGTTGGTTGCTTGCTTGCTTGCTTGCTTTCCAATGGAGTCATTGTTATTTCCTGAGACCTTTGTATTCCAGATGTTGTATGGAGAAATAATACAAGATAATTGGGCCATAAAGACTGAGCTGGGAAAACCACAGACCTCCCTACTATTTCAACTTTCCTGTGAGCTTCTAGTATGTCTGTTATCTGAATGTGAGCTGCATTAATCTAAAGAGAGGTATTAACATAACTAAAGACAGAACTCTTGGGGGGGGAACGAGGGTAGATTTTACCTAAGATTTGTTAAAATCCCCACTGTGGAAAAGAACCTGCCTGCCTATNGTCTTGGGGGGGGGGACGACGAGGGTAGATTTTACCTAAGATTTGTTAAAATCCCCACTGTGGAAAAGAACCTGCCTGCCTATTTCCTCTCCAAATTTGAGAAAATAGCAGTAATATTTGAACTTTAATGAGCTTGACATTCATGATTCAGGGACAACTGGTGATGGGCTGAGTTCACAGAGATGATATTCAGAGAAGATCCAGGGATCCAAAAAGTTCTGACATAATATGCATGAGTAATAACCAAAGTTTTCTACTTTCTGAAGATTTAAGATTTGATTCATCTATCTTTAAATATAGTTCTATACTGTTATGTTCTTACACTTTTTCTATTTCAAGTTAATGATTAACCAAAAGTACAGTTTTCCTTATCTGTGACTAGGGCTGCTCTTGTGGGAGCCCTTTCAGATACATCAGCCCCACTGAGATGCAGGAGTCGGAGCCTTCTGTAAAGGTGGGTAGAGCTCACCTGTCTTAGCCCTGCTTTTCTCGTAGGGAGAGCCAGAGTTAGACTCTCCAGCTCCCACGGGGTGGGCTCCTTTGCATTCACCGTTTTATGGCTCACTTTTGCCAACCCTGAGACTGGTTGAAAAGAGATCGACCAGGGAGGAGGTGCCCTTATAGTGCCTCCTAATTGAGAACCAAGTGAGAGGAACCAAGATGAGACCCAAGAAAAAGCCATGAACAGAAATCGGTTTTGACCAATTTCTCCAAATTTGGAGACAGATCTTTCCCCCTTCTGTCTTAAGTATTTTTCCTTGAGTTTATCTTTCCTTATATTGGAGTAGTAAGATCTAGAAGGCTTAAGTTAGCATGTTAGCTTACCTGGAAGGATACCAACTAATTCTTCTACCTGGTTTTATGTAAGCTTAACCCAGAGGCCGAAAAGGAATCCAAGTATTCCCTTCAGAAGGCAGCTAAGTTCTCCCGTGCTGAGGTTTTGGTACCAAGGTCATCACTAAATACGGAATTCCCAAAGTCATAGCTGGTGATGCTAGTAGTTCAATGAGATCTTCCCAGTCTCATCCTGTTTTGAGCAGGACCTTTGATCCCAAGGTCCTGCTTTGTTTTTCACTCTTTAGAGAAGAAACCTTAGGTTACCTGAAGGAAATTCATCAGTTTTCTCATAGACTAACCAAAAAATATATATTACCTGTCAGCCTTTATTCAGTCAATTTATAATGAATATTACCAATGGAAATATTCAATTCAGCAAAATCCAAAACAGCTAAAACTGTACATGGTTGAAAATTAATTGAAGAATAAAATCTTGACAAAATTTAAGTCAAAATTTTGGCTTGGGAAATTTGAATTTAGCAGGTATAGCGGCCACAAGAGAACTCAGTAGCAGAAGATACCATTAGTAAAATTTTAAATGTACCAAAAATTGACTAATAAATTTCTATCATAAATGTATAAAAAGACTGGATCCCAATGAAAATAGTTACAATAAAATGGAAATGCACTGCCTAGTAAATTGATCCAAGAACGAAACTGGCTTAATGGAGTTGCTTAATAGAATTTATTGATGAAAATTCATCAATATTAGCCCAGTTAAAATATCACCATTCAAAAACATTGGGTGACACAGCCACAGTGGTTTAAAATGTGCCTATACCTGGGCTATCAAAGCGAAGTTGTCCAGATGGCCATTAGCCGTATGGGTCAGGAGAAGTGACTGCTAAGAGTGGTACTTGAATGTCCGGATGTATGTGAGAGCGACAGATGAGAACGTGGAGTGAAGAGAGGAGCACCTGCAGCGTCCCGTGGGAACACCAGCAGGCAGAAAAATCGAAGGGTCACAGCAAAGCTAAGGGAGGAAACAATTCAAGAATGAGAGGTCATTAGTGNTTTAAAGGGCATGTGGAGAGGAAAAGCCACGAGAGAAACTAAGCCCCAAATAGAGGCAGAAAAATCGAAGGGTCACAGCAAAGCTAAGGGAGGAAACAATTCAAGAATGAGAGGTCATTAGTGTGCCACAGAGAGGTCAAATGAGACAGAGAAGTGTTCGTTGGATTTATCAATTCTGAGGCCACTGATGATCTCAGCAAGAGCAATTTTAGTAAAGTGCGGGGAGTGGCTCCATTTTTTTTATGTTTAAATCCTCACCTGAGGATATTTTTTCCATTGCTTTTCAGAGAGAGTGGAAGGGAAAGAGAGAGAGAGAAACANATTTATTATTTTTAAATCCTCACCTGAGGATATTTTTTCCATTGCTTTTCAGAGAGAGTGGAAGGGAAAGAGAGAGAGAGAAACACCGATGTGAGAGAGACACATTGATTGGCTGCCTCCCACATGCACCCTGACTAGGGTGGGGGGTCGAGCCTGCAACCGAGGTATGAACCCTTGGCTGGAATCAAACCCGGGACCCTTCGGCCGGAGGCCGACACTCTTAACCACTGAGCCAAGCCGCTGGGGCGAGTGGTTCCATTTTATACAAGAACCTTGAATGATTCACAATTGAAGGGCACACCACAGCTGCACTGATCCTTCCCCCAGAACACCAACCTGGTCCCCATTCTTTCTTTTTACATTGTATGGTGATTGTTTTCTTAAAAGATTTATATTTTTTAAATAAACTGCCTAACCATATCTTATTATATCTAACTTGCATTCCAATATTACTGATTTGGATGTGTGTTTTTCCTCCAGTTCTTTTATTAATATCATTGAACGAATGTTTAGAAGACATTTTTAGGGTAGAAAAGGAGAATTATTACACTATACTATCAGTGAATTGAAAAAAAACACAATAGTCACTATGGTGACTATATTCACGTCCCAATCCCCAGGACCTGTGAATGATACTTTATATGGCAAAAGGGACTTCGCAGGTGCGATTAAGGATCTTGACCTGCGGAGATTATCCCGGGTCATCGGAGGTGCAACACAAGCACAGCATCGCTTAAGAAAAATGCAGAAGCCAGAGAAGGCAGTGTGATGGCAAAAGCAAGGACTGGGGTGACACTTTGAAGACGGAGGAAGCCAAGGACCACGGGTAGCCGCTGGACCAGACCAGACGGTGGGAAAGACGAGGAAACATTGTCCTCAGCGCCTCCAGAAGGAGCCAGGCCTGCTGACACCTTAGCCTTAGCCCAGTGACCTTGACTTCAAACTTCTGGTCTCCAGACCATAAGAGGATAGATTTGCTGTTTGAAGCCACTAAGGTTCTGATACCTTGTTTAGCGGCAACTGGAAACTCATCCAGCCCCTAAAATTACCCTCCGAAGTGCTAAGACACATGAGCAGCAGCGTGGTTCTCACAATAGCGACAAAGGGCAGCGCACGCTTGGTGCTGAGGGCTGGTGGCGCAGAACATTCCTCAGGTTTACAGCCCTTGTCCATCGCTTCCTGGCTGTGCAGCCTTGAGCAAATCACCCGCTTTCTTCATCTGTAAAACAGGGGTGATATTACCCGCCTGGGCCGTAGGTGGTGGGCGGCGCGCTCCGCAGGGGGGCCCAGGCGCAGCGCTCAGCGTCCGCAGCCTCTGTTTCCGTCGCCAAGTGCAGTGGCGCCACCGTGTGGTGAGGCGCAGTCCCTCACCCCGCGAGCTGCGAATTGCAGTTTGCCTGACAATTTTTAGTATCTGCATTTATTTCACACTTTGCACTTGAGTGGAGACTTCTTGTGGCACTCGAAAATTCACATAAAATGAGACACGGCCGTGGGTGAGGAAGGATTAAAGGGGGACTTGAGTGTGCTTGTGGGCCCGCAGGGAAGGGGGAACAGCCTGCAGAGGAGCAGGTGAAGATGAAGGGATACGAGAATGGAAAGTAGGGGCCACTTCGTACATTATATAAATGTCTAACCACTATGCTGTACATCTGAAATCAATATAAAATGACACTGAATGCCAACTGTAATTGAAAAATAAAATTTTAAAGAGAGAATGAAGAGTAAATGGACAACAAGGACACCCAGCACCCAGAGCTTGGTTTCTAAATAACATTCCCTAAGGAAAGAAATCCAGGCTTCGGGGAGAAATGGCTGATTCTGGGGCCGGAGCAGGAAATCTACAAGGTCTGCCAGTGGCAGAAAGTAAAGGAAGGCTAGAAGAAGAAAAAAAGGGGGAAAAAATGAAAGAAGAAAAGTCACAGGGACACAGAACCGACCTGAAAGAACTCCCAATAGTCAAAGATGGAACAGTTTGAGCGACAAAATAAATAACATGGTATTAGATTATAACGAAGTATGAAGGAAATATCCCCGAGCCCAAACTGGTATGAAAATGATTGAATGAAGAGGGAAGAAAAAACTTACCTCACACACAAGAATTCAGCTTGTGTAGACACCCCCCCCCCCAAGCGGAGCCTGGTTCCACACGCTTGCGGGCTGTGCTTGCAAAGACCAGCGCGTGGATGGGGGGGGACAGGGGACCCGACAAGCACCACGGCAGCCAGTTCATCAGTGTTAACATCAACAGTGCTGTTTTGTCGATAATCTGTACCCTTGATATGTGATGAGAAGGGCACTTCACCGCCCTGGCTGGTGTGGCTCAGTTGGTTGGAGCATCGTCCTGTAGCCCGAAAGGTCACGGGTTCGATTTCCAGTCAGGGCGCATACCTAGGTCCTGGGATTGGTCCGAGGATGGGAGGCAACTGATCAATGTCTATGTCTCTCTCTCTCTCTCTCTCCCCCTCCCTCTAAAAGCATATATGAGGAGCACTTTACCTCTGTGAACATCATAAACTGCAGATAATTTTTATGAGTTTATTTGAGCCAAACTGACAGCACATACCTAGGAGCACGATCTCAAACGTTCCAGAGAATAATAGTTTTGCAGCTTTTTTAATGCATTTGACAACAAGGTAGTTAACAAGATTTGTGCTCGCTGGGGGGTTAATACCCACTTTAAGGGGTATGATTTCTGGTATTTCAAATGTGTGTTAACCTAGATGCACAAGAGCAATGGACAGGGCTGGCTTAAAACCTCTCAATGAAGAAGTTATAAGCCTGGGGCGTGACTACGCACCATGACCTGCCCAGTTAGGAATTTATGATCAGATCGCCCTGTGAGGTTACTTTCCATAGAACCACACCTCTGTGGTCTTCCTCTCAAAAACCTATAACCCCCATCTAACCAAGTGAATAACATCAGACATTTAAATCCCCATTGAGGGACAGTCTACAAAATATCTAACCAGCACTCCTCAAAATTGTCAAAGTCATCAAAAACAAGGAAAGTCTGAGAAATTGAGAAACAAACTGTTACAGACCAGAAGACACTAGGAGTTATAACAAGTGGATATAAATAATATATCCCACATAGGATCCTGGAGCAGAAAAAGAACTCTGAGGGAAAAGTAGTGAAATGCAAACAAACTGGTTAATTTTGGTTCTTCAGTTGTGGCAAATGTATAATGATAACGAAAGATGCTATCAATGGGAAACCGGGTAAGGGATATACAGAAACAATCTACTATCTTTGCACCTTTTCTGTAAATCTAATAGTATTCTAGAACTAAAAAAGTTTACTTAAAAAATAATAAATTGGTCAAAGTTCCTAAGGAATGGCAGGAGGAGCAAGGACGGGGTGGATCCAGAACAGAAAAGGTTACTGAGGTGCTTCTTTTGTTGCGGTTGGGAGGAGGTAAGAGTAATGCCGTGTCAGGGGAAAAAAAATTCTCCTCTAAACTCTTAAGTTTAGTTCTTGGGGGCTGAGAATTAAACTGCCTCGGCCTGTGATGATCCAGAGGACAAGAAAGGTAAAACTGAGATCCTTCAGGTTCAGCAACATGGATGTTGCCAGAGCAGCCCCAGGGCAATGGTGGGACACAGCAGGCTGGTTTCAGCGGTTTGAGAAGTGGGAAGTGAAAAGCTAGAGACCAAAAGTGTAGGCAATTCTTCTATGCCATTTGATTTTGAAGGGAAGAAAGGAGAGAGAGAATGGTGGTTGGAAGGACATTTGGAGCAAGGCAGGATGTTTCTTGTGGGAAGGAACCCATAAGAGAGGGAGAAGTTTAAGACAGATTGTTCCCTAACTGGGGCCTGTCCTTGGGTAGAAGAGCCACGTTGATTCAGAGTCTAGAAGAGAGTAAGGGGACAAGCCTTGTATAGCACCGACGTCTAAAAGGGTTCATGGAAGAGAGCCAGTGGTTACAAGACAAGGTGCAGCCTTGAGGATGTAAACTGCCCTCACCAGGAGCAGTGCCTGCTCAGTGTCCAGGTGCAGGCCAGCTGGAGGTCTGGAGACCCACCCACCCCCTTACATGCCTCTCTGGGTCACAGAAACGCAGGGTTGTCTTGGGTGTGGCCTCAACCTGTCCAGCAACAGGTTTATTGTTTCTGTTCCAGAAACCAGTACTCTCTGTATATCTTCTGGAGCAGTGAGTGGCTCTCAAACTTTAGCCCGCATCAGAATCACCTGGAGGGCTTGTTAAAGAGATTACTGGACCACGCGGCCAAGATTGTGGTTCAGTGTCTAAGGTGGTTGGTGCCTGGTAACTGCATTTCCAACAGGCTCCCACGCCTTTGATGCACCCAGTCCACCCTTTGGGAACTGCTGCCCTAGAGAAAGCCAATAAATCTGGAAGGTTCTGGAAGAATACCGAACAGGCTTTTGTACTTTGCTCTAGAAACTAGTCACTACTCAAGCTTACACAGCAAAGGGCAGCCCCCTCCAGGTGAGCCCCTATGTGTGCTGGTCCGCGATGACCACGTCAAGCCCCGCCTCACAGATGGGTAGGACGCAGGTCCACACGCGCCCCGTGAGAAAAGGGCAGGCAGCTCGCTGGCCTCGCGGAAGGCGAGAACCTTCAGAGGCGCCGCTCCAGGGGGTCTTTTGGTAACTGAGCTGGACCTGGAGGCAAGCAGGATCCTACTGATGGCGATGCGGCAGGTTTAAGGTTCGAGAGCACTATTCTAACCGCAGGACCAGTCGGTGCAAGAGCAGGACCCAGCGAGTAAGACAAGCGTGGAAGCCCCGCACAGGCGTGCAGAGTCCCGCGTGCTTTACTGTGGGATTTATCTTTTCCTCCCTTGTCCAAGCTTATGCAGTAGGTAGGCGGTGGCTGCAAACAGCCGGGCGCGAGCCTGCCCCGCTCAGCCGCAGCAGCGCCGCCTACAACCGGTAGAGGGCGCTCTCCACGGTGCCTGTCCCGCTTCCAGCCGGGCTGCGCCTGCGCCCGCGCCCGCGCCTGCTCCCGTGCCGACGCATGCGTAGGCTTCCGCGGTTGGGCGAAGGGCGAGGCCCGTCCCACGCCTGCGCACTCGGACTAAGATGGCGGCTGCGGCGGCCCGCCTGGGCTGCGGAGCTGTGGCCGGTGCCGCAGGGTTACGCAGGCGGTAGGTGACAAATCCCGAGCTCTGTGTAGGGACGCCTCTGGACGTAACCTGCAGAGCGGAAACCTCCCTGCCCGCTCCCCCAAACCGGGTAGTGAAAGGTGCCTCTGGCCGAGCCTTTGGGTTCGCCCCCGTAGCCGCAGTGGGGGGTGATCCCTGGAGGTGGGCGTCTGTCCTTGAGGCAGCCCCGCGCCCCGTTCGGGTGGACTCTGCCCTGCCTGGCCGCGGGCGCTGAGACGCTGTGTCCGAGGCCCTGCGGTGGGAGGTTCGCAGAGACTGGAGTGGAGAGACCCAACGCAAGAGCTGTTTTTAAATCGTGCGGCCCCTCTAGCCCTTCACGTGCATTCCCTCCTCTGCCTTTTAGACACAGAATCAGAAGGTCATAAAATGGGAGAGAATGCCTCTCTCATTTCTTCTTTTCCCCAGGGAGACCCAGACAGGGGACGTGACCTGGCTGAGGTCACACAGCATGTAAGTGACGGGACTGTGATGAGAATCCAGACCCCCGATCTCCTCCCCACCCCTTAAACCCGCTGCGCCCCCTTGTTTCCCCGCTTCCGGGCGCCCTGCCAGGGATACCCGCCCACCCGGGTTAGGGGAAGGGCGCCGAGGATTTAAGTAGGTGGTCTACCCCAGTTTCGCTTCTGGAACAAAAGGAGAAAAGGGCCCAAATTGTAGTTGATCTCGTTGTAGGGAGTTTTAGTGCTAATGATGCTCTTGAAGTTTAAATGCATCTCTTTAAAAAGGAATGAAGTTTGTCCAAGGATTTTTTGGTTAGTCACCCATCGTCCTCTCAAGTTTGACTCATGTCTATCACATAATAATAGTGGCAGCTGACATTTATTGAACACTTAACTACATGGCCTAGCAGCAGTGTTTTAAGCACTTTACGTGGATTATTTCGACCCATCTTTATGAGATAGCTGTGAATATTAACTTCATTTTAGAGATGAAGAACTGAGGCCATTGCGCTAGCTGTTCCAGGGACATAGAAATGATGACAGTCCCGCCCCTTAATGAGTCTGCAGGTGAGAATAATCAGGTGTTTAAAAAAAAAAGTCATAATAAATATGTTTAAAATTCCTTGGTGATTCATGTGAAATGAAAATTGTAATATTTTAAAGTAAACTAGATTTCAAAAGAATTTGCATTAAATGTCTAAAATTTTCGCTACTAAAGTCTCCTTTTATTTCCAGCAATACTAGTTTTTCCCTTTTCGCCTTGTTTTAATTTGTCAGAGGCATGCAAAAATAGCCAAACACTTCCTCTATCATAATGGAATAACCAAAGTTACAATAATAATATGCTTCCAAATAAGAAGCATATATAGATTGTTGGTTTCTTTAGCAGTTTGGAGGAGAAAAGTATACTTTCTAGTAGACTTTTTGAAGTGTTGAAATACCTTTCAAGCCATATAGAATAGGCTATGCCTTTCCAGGGAAATGTAGAAACAGAAAAGGAGGGAGACTTTTCACTATATTTTTATTTTGTTTATTTTTATTTTAAAATAATTTTTTTTCCTAATCCTCACCCAAGGATGTTTTTTCCATTGTTTTTCAGAGAGAGTGGAAGAGAGAGAAACATCGATGTGAGAGAGACACATTGATTGGTTACCTCCTCCACTCACCCAAATCAAACCTGGGACCCTGGTCCCAAGTTCTGACCACTGAGCCAAACCGGCCAGGGCTTCTTTTCTTCTTTTAAATTTGGAACCATGTGATTTTTTTAATCTAGTTTAGTTTTAAAAATGTTTAAAAAGAAGGGAAAAACAGTTTGTAGTTCTTTGCCTCCTTCATGCATAACTAAGAGTCTGGGACTCCAGGTTATGAATTGCTAGTGTAGATACATTTCTGTTTCTTACAGATATTGCACTATTCTGTGTGTATTCAGTTATCAAGGATGTAAATTTCCCCTTGAGCTCTTGTTTTTAAATTGTTTGTAGCTATTCCTTGCCTGAAGAAGTGAAAATAATGTGGATAGAAAATGAAAATTTAGTTTTATTAATATTTTCATTATGGTTTTTTATGCATGAGAAGTAGAAACTGAGCTTAAAAGATTCTTAAAATGTCATTTTTATTTGTTTTTAAATGTAGGTTCTATGACATGATGAATCCATACACCATTAAGAAACAGCCTCTGCATCAGTTTGTACAAAGACCACTTATACCACCATCTGCAACCTTATGTAACACAGGTAAAATTCACTTCTTTTAGGGCAAATTGTGTTTCAGAAGCTAATGAAACTGCTTGAACGAAATTTTGTTGGGTCATAAAAGATGACAATTTATAAATTCTTTTTTCAGGTGCCACCTATAAAAGAACATAGCATTTTTTCCTTTCATAACATCACACTTTGCTGTAATTATTTGCTTACACATATCATTGATATTTAATTTCAAGAATCCTGAGCACAATGTCTAATAGGTCTATGAAGTTTCAGTATCTTGCATAACCTATTCTCTGAAACATAAGAGTTGCTTAATAAGTGATTTCTGAAATGAAAATATGGTAAAAAGAAGTTACAGATGAGTTTGTGTTTCAAAGAATCATGTATTTTAAGCCATTACCCTCCTTATTTTTATAAGAATACCTCTAAAATCAGTAAATTTCTAGCTTTCATCCACACCATGGAACATAGTATTTTGAATGTAATTTTTCCTTTTTTTGTCAAAATGGGTCACTATGGTTTTTGACAATCTGGTTGATGTTACATGCTTTTATTTTCTTTACTATTGGAAACAGGTATGAGGATAGGATTTGAAAGTTACTTGAATATGACCACTGTTGTGTTATAGTGGGAGGAACTGTTGTGTGGTTAGGGAAACTTGGGAGGAAAGGGTGTCTGTCTGTGTGTAAATACCTATCTATATGTACTTATGGAGCTATAAGAGTTTAGATTCAGCTCCTGGCCTACCTCCATTTCAGCTCCATTTCCATTACTACCTTGAACACTTCCTGTGGCCATACTCTGGAATTTGACTGACTCTGGCTAATGGCATGAGTTGGATTAGGGTTGAGACCTTATCTACCCTGTGTACTGGGGCAAGAACAGGAGTACCTTGCCTATCTTCTTGAATCACAGAATAATTTAGCTATAAATATTGAGTACCTCAGCATGTTAAGCTACTTTAATTGGACTTTACATTTTTGTGGGACTGAATTATGTGGTCACATAGACTTTTCAAATTGGAAAGCTGCTGATTTTAGTCTTCGATACTGACTTTAAGCACCATTAATCGGTAGTTTTAGAGGAATTTATGCCTACCTATTTACCTATTAATACCAAGCATTATAGGAAAAATTATTTTCGATCAGTCTTTCTATCCTGGTGTAACCCTATGACACTTTCAGGGGCATCTTTCTGGATGATGGATCTGGGAGTCATTTTTTAAATACGTGATTAAACCCAATTTAGAAAATAATTGGAATGATTTTGTTAATACCTAGTCAAATCACTTTTATGAAATAGCTTTGTTTATTGTCAAAAGAAAATTTATGTACTGATGTCATATATTGTTTTCTACTTCAGTTTATGCCTCTTAAATACTTTTTTACAATTACAGTTCTTACCTTAAGTATTTCTAAAAAATTTTCTTTCTGTATATATAGTTTTACACAAATGGGTTGAGTAGAATAAAGCCAGATTTAATTCTTCAAATACTGAAGGAGTGCCTAATGTGTGTGGAGCTTTTGGTTACCAATAAATTATTTAAAAAGGTTGCAAGAAATGATTGGTCAGAACCAGGGCTAAAAGAACTTTGTTGTCTATATTTACAGAAAGCCCTTTCTTTTTTTTTTTTTTCTTTTAAATATGTTTTTATTGATTCCAGAGAGAGGAAGGGAGAGGGAGAGACAGAAAATCAATGATGAGAGTCATTGATTGGCTCCCTCCTGCACACTCCCTGCTGGGGATTGAGCCTGCAACCCAGGCATGTGCCCTGACCAGAATCGAACCCTAACCTCTTGGTTCATGGGTTGACGCTCAACCACTGAGCCGTGCCGACTGAGCGGAAAGCCCTTTCTTTAATGCTCCATCTGAAAAATTGTTTCCTTGTAACAGATTTTCAGAGGCATTTATTGATTAGTGATATAAGTATTTTAAACCAAACAGTTAGACATTGAGGTTATATAAAATTTTTTTCTTCTTAAGGATTTGCCTGGTCACCAAGTCACCAACTGATATCTTATAGGACAGTGACTTAAATAAGCAAAATGTTGGGATTTTAGTTTCAATTTCTATTTCACCAAGGAAATGACAACATCAATTAGCTGAACCTGTATGGCAAGGTGCAAGAACAGTTTTCAGCTGTCAAGTTAGAATCTTTTCTTGTAAGAAAAGCACTTCCATAACAACCATATGTTTTGCTAGATTTAACCTCTAATTTAAAATAAAACTGTTGCTCTGATATTTTCCTATCTTCTAAGATGTGTGCTATGAGGATTATGACAAGATAGGAAGACTGATTTTAAATATATTTTCCTGTTATGCTTGGCACTAGTAAGTATGGAGTGGCATTATGCACAGTGGTTAAGCAAGTCAGTGCTGGAAAATTGGCAGCGTTATCTCTTTAACTAGCTCAGTGACATTGAGTTTTAGTTTCTTCACTTATAAAATAGGATAAAAACAGTGCCTCCTTGGCAGGATGTAAGGATTAAGTGATGTAATTCATGTGGAGTGCTTAGCACCATGCCCAGTACATGTTTATTATTATTATTATTATTTATTTATTAATTAATTTATTTATTTTGATTTCAGAGAGAGGAAGGGAGAGGGAGAGATAGAAACATCAATGNATTATTATTTATTTATTTATTAATTTATTTATTTATTTTGATTTCAGAGAGAGGAAGGGAGAGGGAGAGATAGAAACANTATTTATTAATTAATTTATTTATTTTGATTTCAGAGAGAGGAAGGGAGAGGGAGAGATAGAAACATCAATGATGAGAGGGAGTCTCATTGATCGGCTGCCTCCTGCATGCCCCCTACTGGGGACCGAGCCTGCAACCCCGGCATGTGCCCTGACCAGGAATTGAACCATGATCTCCTGGATCATAGGTCAGTTCTCAACCCCTGAGCCACGCCAGCTGGTCTATTATTATTATTTTTTTAAATTTAATTTAGAGAGAGAAAGGAAGAGGAGACAGAAACATCGACTCACTATTCCACTTTTTCATGCACTTACTGGTTGGATTTTTATTGATTTTTGTATGTGCCATGACCAGGGATCAAACCCACAACCTTGGCATATTGGGACAATGCTCCAACCAACTGAGATACCTGGCCAGGGCCCAGAACATGTTAATGACTCAATGAATTAACTTATTTTAGTAAGATGAGAATTGGTGTTTTTTGGTCAGAAGGTTTATTTTCATAATAAATAATAAAGGCCTGTTTAGTAGTTTTAAAACTATTAAAACCCTAGTACTATCTATCCTTTTGTCCTACAAACTGTTATTATATTGACAAGGCAGGAAATTAAACATTCTGTTCTTTCTTTAGTGCGTTAATTAATTCATTCTCAATCTAATCATGGCCTTAGAAAAAAGAAAGAAAAGAACCTGTAAAGATAAGTTTTAAATATTCCAGAAAGTAAGTCACATAGATTCCCACTTACATGATAAGTTTTGGTGTCACTAACTCTATACCAGTGGGCAGTTACTTGACTCTTTGTAATTTAACAAGTTATTTATCTCTAAGCGTCAGTTTCTTCATTTGTAAAATGGGAATAATAGTACCTTCTTCATAGGTTGTTAAAAGCTTAAATACATTTAAAGCACTTGACCTGCCCTGGCCTGTGTGGCTCATTTGGTTGGGCATAGTCCCATGCACTGAAAGGTTGCCAGTTCATTCCCTGTCAGGGCATGTGCCTAGGCTGTAGACTGGATCCCTGGTAAGGGGCGTGCAGAAGGCAGCTGATCAATGTTTCTCTCTCTCTCCCCCTCTCCCTTCCTCTCTCTCTCAAAAATCAATAAAAATATTTAAAAAAAACCAAAAAGCACTCGACCCTGTCCTTGGCATGTAAATAGTAAGCGCACAATAAATATTAGTTGTTATTATAAATATATTTGTCTTTAAAAGGATGGTAGCACTTTGGAAAGAAGACAATGTAACATTTTACTCTATAATATCATAGTGTTGATGATTTATGATTATGATAGCCCTTGATATTAAGTCACCAAATAGAATGCATATATGATTTCTGAATTACAATATACCTTCCTACTTAAGTGTAGAATATTACTAGAATCTATTGAGTAACAAAACTATCTAATCAAAATTAATATAAAGTTCAGTGGATTTATCCTATATTGATACATTGCTTTCTTGTCTTTAAAAATTCTTTTGTCAGTTTGGGGCAACAAAGTTGTATTTTCTTTTTACTAATTTTTCTTCTTTTGGGTCTCTGAAAATGATAGTCCATAAATTGTTAACTACTATTTCTAGAATAACATTCTTCTTTGTTTCTCTTTTAGTGAGACACATGTTTATTCAAACACAAGATACCCCAAATCCCAACAGTTTAAAGTTTATTCCAGGAAAACCAGTTCTTGAGACAAGGACCATGGATTTTCCCACACCAGCTACAGCATTTCGTTCCCCTCTGGCTAGGTATATTACAGTTTTCCACTTGCTTTTACCAAGAAACATAAATAACTGACTTTAGGGTTAAGGCAGCTTTATTTAGTTATTGCATTTTTATGTGCACTGCATTTTTTTTCCAGAGAATACTTTCTCTTCAGGTAAGGGATAGAGAAAACTAAGAGTTGATATTAGGAAACCTCCTGAAAAGTGATGTATTTGAGAGATCTATATCATGACTACATAACAATTTATATTTTAAGAAAAATCATCCATAAAAGTGATAATATGGTAAATTTCCATTCTAAATCTTTAAAACTGTTTTTTGTTTTTTTAAAAATATCTTTATTGATTTCAGAGAGAGGGAGAGAGAGCGATAGAAACATCAATGATGAGAGAGTCATTGATTGGCTGCCTCCTGCACACCCCCCACTGGGGATTGAGCCCTTGCAACCCAGGCTTGTGTCCTGACTGGGAATTGAACTGTGATCTCCTGGATCCTAGGTTGATGCTCAACCGATGAGCCACGCCGGCTGAGCTAAAACTGGGTTTAATGAGCAATGAAAACTTACTCATTTAATTCTTAAGGATAGCTGAATTTCTAGATGTTTCAAAATAGAGTCATTTCTAAAATATTCCACTCATAACTATAAATGATAATAGTTATCAGATATGGAATGATTTTTTTTAAAACAAAACTACTCAGTTGAGCCTGGACCAGTATGGTTCAGTAGGTTGGAGCTTCTCCCATGCACCAAAAAGTGACAGGTTCGATTTCCGGTCAGGGCACATAGCCAGATTGCAGGTTTGATCCTGGGGAGGCAACCGATTGATGTTTCTTTCTCACATTGATGTTTCTCTCTCTCTCTGCCTTCCTTCTGAAATCAATTTAAAAAAAACAAAACAGCTACTCAGTTGAGACAGTTTTTAAATTCAGTAGAGACAAGTTAAATATATGTTAGACAAAGCATAAACAATAACATTATTGGAATGAAACACTTTATAGCTGATAGCTAAGGAAATTATAGTAAGAAATATTAGCCCTAATATTTGGCTCAGTGGTTAGAGCGTTGGCCTGCAGACTGAGTTTGATTCCGGCCAATGGCACATACCTCAGTTGCAGGCTTGATTCCCAGCCCTGGTTGGGGCACATGCGGGAGGCAACCAGTTGATATCTCTCTCTCACATAGATGTTTTTCTCTCTCCCTCCCTTCCACACTCTGAAAAGCAATGGAAAAAATATCCTCAAGTGAGGATTAAAAAAAGGAAAAGAAATAGAGTCAGTATTAATAGAAATTTTTAGTAATCTGTGCCTGATACTGATTGCCCATGATATTTGGAAAATAAAACTTAAATAATTTTCAATATATACACTCTTTTTATATGTCTCATTTAGGGGTGTCAGAAAGATGCATATCTCAGAATGGTTTTTAAAATTTATATTAATCAAAATGCACATTTCTTTGACCTAAAAATGCACTTGTCAGAATATACCTTAGAGCATTTGTTTTTCACACTTTTTGATACAAGCCACAATAAGAAATGCTTTATATTCTGACCTAGTGCACACACCACATACACACATATACATATACATATATCCATATATATGTGTATTATACACACACATATATACGTATATATATGTGTGTATGTGTATGAAACGTGTTCGATGGGACAGTTTTCACCCTTACAATGTGCAATCCATTCTTATATTTTGTTTCTTGTTCGTTTTATTTTATCCTTTTCTGTTTTGTTTTATTAGATAAAATTTTGGTCGCTACATAATCTATTTCACAACTTGCTGGTGGGTTTGAAAAACACTACCTTAGAGAACACCAGCATATATACATAAGGTGTGTGCAAGGAGATTCATTGTAGCCTTGTTGGTAATGGTAACAAGTTAGAAACAACCCAAATATTCATCAGTAGGAAGAGTTACATAAACATTGTTCATCCATAGTCTGTAGATATTAAAAAGGATGAGGAGGACCCATATTAACTCTCATAGAATGGCCTCTAAGACATACTGTTAAGTGAAGAAAGCAAGTTTCAGAACAGTAAGTACAGTATGATTATTATGTGTATAAAAACAAAAAGCACAAAACATATGCTCCACAAAGACCAGCACATGAATCTTTATAGCAGATTCCAGATCTCTTTTTTTTTTTTAATTTTTATTTATTTATATATCTTTATTGATTTCAGAGAGAGGAAAGGAGAGGGAGAGAGAGATAGAAACATCAATAATGAGAGAGTCATTGATCAAGCCCACAATGGGGCATGTGCCCTGACTGGGAATCGAACCCCGATTGCCTGGATCCTAGGTCGATGCTCAACCACTGAACCATGCCTGGCCAGGCCAGATCTCATTTTTTAAAAGAAAAAAACTTGAGCTGAAGAGGATTAAGTGCAGTGTTCAAGATTATATAGGTGGTCTACAGCAGGGCCAAGACTTAACCTTGGCAGGACTAGAATTTAGGCTTCCAAGTATTATTATCTGTAATAGCCTCCCCCCCAAAAAATCTGGGAATGTCCATCAACTGGAGAGTGACTAAACAAATTGTAAATGCCCATATAACATAATACTACTCGACAATAAATCAGAATAAACTATTAGTACACACAGAAACAAGGATCACTCTCAAAAGCATTATGGTAAAGGAAAGAAGCCAAACACAAAAGACTATATGGTTTCATTTATATGAAATTCTAGAAAAGGCAAAGCAGTAGTGACATAAAGATCAATAATTATGCCCAGACGGCGTGGCTCAGTGCTTGAGCATAGACCTATGATCCAGGAGATCAAGGTTTGATTCCCAGTCAGGGTACATGCCCTGGTTGCTCAGTCCCCAGCAGGGGGCGCTGCAGGAGGCAGCCAATCAGTGACACTCATCATTGATGTTTCTCTCTTTCTCTCTCCCCTTCCTCTCTGAAATCAGTAAAAATATACATATATATATATTTTAAAAAGATCAATACTTACCAGGATGACAGATGTACTAACTAACCTTATTGTGGAAATCATTTCACAGTATATTTGTGTAGCAAGTCATCATGTTGTACCCCTTCAACTTAACACAGTGTTTTATGTCAATTATATCTCAACAAAGCCGGAAACATTTTTAAAGCAAAAATAAAAATAAATAAAAAATCATTGCCATAAAGAAAAAGCTAGCAGAGTGTGGAGGTAAAGCAAGAGGGCTGAATTTAGAGGGAAATGAGGGATCTTCTGTAGTAAAAATGCTCTGTATTTTTACTGTGGGGTTGCTCAGTTGTAGGGAGGAGGATAATACACGGTTGGCTGTGATTTGAAACTGAGGTTGGATATATGGAAGTACTTTTATTTTTCTCTGTACTTTTGTTTATTGTAAACTTTTCATAATTAAACATTTTATTATCTATTTTTTTTTTTTCCCCCCCACAGGCAATTATTTAGGATTGAAGGAGTGAAAAGTGTCTTCTTTGGACCAGATTTTATCACTGTCACAAAGGTAAACAAGCATAGGATGATGTGAAAGGAAATGCAAAGCACTTTCAGTTTTTCTGAGTCAAATGCCCCTCTCGAATTTCCATTCTTAATGTATTTTATACATAATGTTATTAAAAAGTCTCATTATGTTTACTTCTCACATTTCTTAAGTTAATTATTTTAATAGAATTCCAGATCTCTCATTTTTTAAGAGAAAAAAACTTGAGCTTCCGAGGATTAAATGCAGTGTTCAAGATTATATAGGTAGCCTACAGCAGGGCCAAGACAACATTGGCAGGACTAGAATTTAGGCTTCCAAGTATTATTTTTACTAATTTTTAGTTTAAATTGATAGAATAATAAGAGAAGCAAATAAGTAATCACACAATATATATATATTTGACCAACAGAATGATTGAATATATATATCTGCTTTCAAAGTAGGCACATCATGGCATCTGACCCATTCTACCATCCTGCAATAACACTTCAGAGCTTCACACATAGAGCAGTGGACTGTGTAAGTTCTTCAGCACTTGGTCAACCTGTAAATGTCAAAAAAAGGCAAGCTAAATATGCTAACCATTGCAATAGCTAAGGTGGTATCTACTAAAAAAGGCTGTTTCATTTTTAAGTCTACTAGATTAATGAGAAATGAACTATTTAAATTTGAACTATGTATCCTTTTAAATCTGTTAATTGGTATGCATGCACTGTACTTAATCACTTGTCTAATTTCACATCAAAATAAAAAGTATTCATTCAACTCCTCTTAAGCAATTTGAAAGGATTACTCTGAGTTCTTAATGTACTGAAAAAGTGGACATACTGGGTTAGTAACATGTTACATCTAGTGCAGTATTCTGATGTAGCTATTTCTCAGAAAGCCCTTTCTTTTTAAAAAAAAAAAAAAAGCATATTGATTTCAGAGAGAGAGAGGGAAACATCAATGATGAGAGATAGTCATTGACTCGCTGCCTCCTGCACGCCCCCTCACTGGGAATGGAGCCCAAAATCCTGGCATGTGCCCTGACTGGGAATCGAACTGCTATCTCTTCGACCATAGGTCGATGTTCAACCGCTAAGCCACACGAGCCCGGCAGAAAGCCCTTTCTTTACCATATTTGTGAAAATGTCACTTCCCTCAGGAGCTCATTGCCCTGTTTATTTTCTTCATTGCACTTATCTTAATTGTATTTTTTATTTTTATTCCCTGTCTTTCCTGCACTAGAATATAAATTCTGTGAAGATAAAGGTGGTCCATCTTGTTAAGATTTTCTAGAACAATGCCTGGCATATAGTATGCACTCAAATAAATTTTTGTAGAAGGAAACAATGTTGTAAAATTTTCTAAATTGAATTTTCAGCCTTCAAGTAGCTTCCCACAAATGTAGAATCATGGTGAGCAAGTCTGTGTTAACTGATCCCTAGTCTTTATCAGTTTAGAGACATCTGGCCTCACCAAGTTTTCTTTCTTGGGTATTTTCTGAGGGAGAAAAAAGGACCAGCATTTATTTAATATCTCTAACATGTTTGATATGGCACGAGTGCTTTACATACATTATCTGGTTGAATTCTTACTAGTTATTCTTGTCTTTATTTTACAAAATGGAAATTATGCATTTATTTTAAGACATTTTTATTTAGTTCTTTTACATACAGCCTATGCTATTAAATATTTTTAGATGAAAATATGTGATTATATCTTACAGGGTGTTTGTTTTTTTTCTTGATTTGATTTTGGTAAGTCATCTTTTATTTCTCTTTCTCTTCATAATTTAGTTACCCTTTTTGAAATTTCAGCTTCACTATTTTTTGCTTAAAGAAATGACATAGCTAATAAATAATATTCCAAATAAGGGCACACACTGATGTTAAATAGGTATAATAGCAGATTTCATTTGTTTTCTTTCAGTTAACCTTCCTCATCATGGACTATTCCATTTACCTGATATCTTCAGTGATTGCCTTCTGATCTGTAATTGATAATTCAGAGGCTTCTTTATGTATCATTTATGTTTTTTTTTTCTAAATGTGTAAGTGTATTTTCAGCTTATATGTTGCCTTTTTTCCTCATTCAAACTTTACGAAATTTTTGTTACCAAAATTTCCTTACTCAGTAGAGCTCACTGTTTACTGAAGATCTGAGGTAGCTTTCTGATCCTTCTTCCAAATAATTCATTAAAACATTACCTCGAACTAGTTCCCATTCCCAGTCACTAAGGCATCACACTAGTTTTGCTCTGGTATCCCTAGCAGTGCCCATTTAGCTCCTCTTCTGTGTACTGCCTCTAAATTGGTTCTAATGCATTGCAAAAATTGTTCTTAGGCATGTAGCCTCAAGTGTAGAAACCTTAGCCAACAGTTTCCTGAGAGTCTAAATAGACTGCATCTTATAGTTTTTTCTTCTACAGAGCTCTCCTTTTCTTTTAAAAAATTTCTTTTAAATCCTCATTTTTTGGGGGTGTCCCAAAAAATGTATACATGCACTTTGAATAATTATAAAGGCAGTGTTTATTAAAATATATTTTATTTTCAGAATTGAGTTATCAGCTGTTAAAGTGCATATACATTTTTCGGGACACCCTGTATATGTATTTTTTAATTGATTTAGAGAGAGAGAAACATGAGTGTCCCAGAGAAATATTAATTGGTTACCTCTCATACACACCCGAACTGGGGATCGAACCTGCAACCTAGTTATGTACCCTGACTGGGAATTGAACCTGTAACCTTTTTGGTGTATGCGATGATGCTCAACCAACTGAGCCACCTGGCTGGGCTAAAGAGCTCTCCTTTAAAAAACTAAAACAATATATCCTGCCTTTCTTCTTTTAGATGTTAGTACTATTTAGGTATTTAAGAATTATACCTTTTTCTTTTTTTTTTTTTTTTGCACTTTAAAAATATGTCTTTATTGATTTCAGAGAGAAGAAGGGAGAGGGAGAGAGCGATAGAAACATCAATGATGAGAGAGTCATTGATCCGCTACCTCCTGCACACCCCCCACTGGGGATCAAGCCCTTGCAACCCAGGCTTGTGTCCTGACTGGGGAATTGAACTGTGATCTCCTGGATCCTAGGTCGATGCTCAACAGCTTAGCCACGCCGGCTGGGCTTCCTTTTTTTTTTTTAATGGAATCAACCACTTGGTCAGATTTTGGGGTGAAATAGTTATTGATTCTTTCTTATCGATTCTTTCTTATTGCTCTTGTTGACAATTTACAAGCTCTCTAGCACAGTAGCCATAGATAAAACATGTTACATGTTTTGGCTCTACAGTTTTGTCATTGGGTTTCTTCAATGCTCTTTAAGTAATATATGTAAATTGAATTTTTTAATAGTTGTCATATTCTATGTATTTGATTAAGCAGTTATATCCTGTTCTATTTAAAAGAATGGGAAATTTCTTCATCTTCTTTATTGATTTTTAGATTTTATTAATTTCTTAGAGTGAGAGGAGGAAGAGGGGGGAGAGAGAGAAACATCAGTTTGTTTCACTTATTCATGCATTCATTCTTTGATTCTTTTTTTAAATTCAGCCTTTTAAAAATCTTTGTTTTTAAATTTTTTGTTTATTGATTTTTGGAGAGAGGAAGAGGGAGAAAGATAGACATTGATTTGTTCCACTTATTTATGCATTCATTGGTTGATTCTTTTTAAGTTTCTTTATCTTTATTGTTGAAAATATTACAGATGTCCCCTTTTTATCCCCATTAACCCCCTCTACCCCACATCCACCCCACCCCCAGACCTTCCCCAGACCAGTGTCTATGTCCATGAGTTATGCTTATAAACATATAAGTTCTTTGATTAATCTCTCCCTGCCCAGTCCCCCCTCCCCACCTTCCCCCTGAGATCCCTCAGTCTGTTCCATGCTTCTATGTCTCTGGATCCATTTTGTTCATCCCTTTATTTTGTTTATTATATTCCACATATAAGTGAGATCATGTGGTACTTGTCTTTCTCTGACTGGCCTATTTCACTTAACATAATACTTTCTAGCTCCCTCCATGCTGTCCCAAAGGATAAAAGATCCTTCTTTTTTACAGCTGCATGGTATTCCATGGTGTAAATGTGCCACGGCTTTTTTATCCACTCATCTACTGATGGGCACTTGGGCTGTTTCCAGATCTTAGCTATTGTAAATTGCGCTGCTATGAACATAGGGGTGCATAAGTTCTTTGTGATTGATGTTTTGGGTTTATTAGGATATATTCCTAGAAGTGGGATCATTGGATCAAATGGCAGGTCAATTTTTAACCTTTTGAGGAAACTCCATACTGCTTTCCATAGTGGCTGCACCAGTCTGCATTCCCACCAGCAATGTACTAGGGTTCCCTTTTCTCCACACCCTCACCAGCACTTGTAGTTCGTTGATTTGTTGATGGTAGCCATTCTGACAGGTGTGAAGTGATACCTCATTGTGGTTTTTATCTGCATCTCTCTGATGATTAGTGACGTTGAGCTTTTTTTCATATGTCTCTTAGCCATCTGTATGTCCTCTTTGGAGAAGTGTATATGTAGGTCCTTTGCCCATTTTTTAATTGGATTGTTTGTCTTCATTTTGTTAAGTTGTATGAGCTCCTTATATATTTTGGATATTAACCCTTTATCAGATGTGTCATTGGCAAATATGTTCTCCCATACAGTGGGCTCCCTTTTCATTTTGCTGATGGTTTCTTTTGCTGTGCAGAAGCTTTTTATTTGGATGTAGNGGCTATGCAGAAGCTTTTTATTTTTAATGCAGTCCCATTTGTTCATTTTCTCCTATGTTTCTCTTGCCCTAGGAGATGTATCAGCAAACATATTGCTATGAGAGATGTCTGAGGTTTTGCTCTCTATGTTTTCCTCTAGGATTTTTATGGTTTCATGTCTTACATTTAAGTCTTTTATCTATTTTGAAGTAACTTTTGTGTATGGTGTAAGTTGGTGGTCTAGTTTCATTTTTTTGCATGTACCTGTCCAATTTTTCCGACACCATTTATTGAAGAGACTGTCTTTACTCCATTGCATGTTCTTGCCTCCTTTGTCAAGTATTAATTGTCCATAATGGCGTGAGTCAATTTCTGGGTTCTCTGTTCTGTTCCACTGATCTATGTGTCTGTTCTTGTGCCAGTAACAGGCTGTTTTGATTATAGTGACTTTGTAGTATAACTTGATATTGGTATTGTGATCCCTCCAACTTTGTTCTTCTTTCTCAAGACTGCCATGGCTATTCGGGGTGTTTGTTCATTCCATATAAATTTTTGAAGCGTTTGTTCTGGATCTGTGAAATATGCTGTTGGTATTTTAATAGGGATTGCATTAAACTTATAGATTGCTTTAGGTAGTATGGACATTTTAATGATCTTAATTCTTCCAATCCATGAACATGGCGTGTTTTTCCATTTGTTTATATCTTACTCTATTTCTTTCTTCAGTGTCTTGTAATTTTCTGAGTACAGGTCTCTTACCTGTATTCCTGGGTATCTTATATTTTTAGTTGCAATGATAAATGCGATTTTTTTTTTAGTTTCTCTTTCTGAGAGTTCATTATTGGTGTATAAAAATGCCATTGATTTCTGGGTGTTAATTTTGTATCCTGCTACCTTGCTGAATTCATTTATTAAATCTAGCAGTTTCTTGGTGGAGTCTTTAGGGTTTTCTATGTACAATATCATGTCATCTGCAAATAATGACAGTTTTGTTTCCTCCTTTCCAATATGGATGCGTTTTATGTTTTTCTTCTTCTTGTCTGATCGCTGTGGCTAGGACTTCCAGTACTATTTGAATAAGAGTGGTGAAAGTGGACACCCCTGTCTTGTTTCTATTCTTAGGGGAAATGGTTTTAGTTTTTGCCCATTGAGTATGATGTTGGCTGTAGGTTTGTCATATATGGCCTTTATTATGTTGAGGTATGATTTCTCTATTCCCACTTTGCTGAGAGTTTTTATCAAAAATGGGTGTTGGATTTTATCGAATGCTTTTTCTGCATCTATTGTTATGATCATGTGATGTTTGTCTTTCAGTTTGTTTATGTGATGTATCATGTTTATTGATTTGCGAATATTGTACCAGCCTTGCATCCCTGGAATAAATCCCACTTGGTCATGGTGTATGATCTTTTTAATATTTTGCTGGATTCAATTTGCTAATATTTTGTTGAGGATTTTAGCGTCTGTGTTCATCAAGGATATTGGCCTGTAATTCTTTCTTTGTAGTGTCTTTATCTGGTTTTGGAATTAGGCTAATGCTGGCCTCGTAAAAAGTGTTCCTTCCTCTTGGATTTTTTGAAATAGTTTGAGGAGGGTAGATATTAATTCTTCTTTGAATGTTTGGTAAAACTCTCCTGTGAAGCCCTGACCCGGAATCGAACCCTGATCTCCTTGATCCTAGGTCGATGCTCAACCGCTGAGCCACGCCCAGCCGGGCAAAAAATATTCTTAAAAGATATAAAGTACTGTTTTATATTTGTGCCCTTGGGTGGAAATTTTAGCATTTTCCTTCAAATATTTACAGGAAAGTGAAGAGTTAGACTGGAATTTACTGAAACCAGATATTTATGCAGCAATCATGGATTTCTTTGCAGCTGGCTTACCCTTAGTTACTGAGGAAACATCTTCAGGAGAAGCAGGTAATATGTTGGGTAATTAATATTTGTCCTTTTAAAAAAAGCTTTTCTATTTCACATTTGTTTTGATTACATTTGTTTTAATTTCAGAAGTCATGGGAATACAGATTTTTATCATTGTACTATATTTATCTCTGGGACCAATTCTGAGGAAATGAAACTTCATATATGCTAGTTTTGCCCATCATTTTTGAAAATTTGTAAATAAATTGCATCTGTTATACAAAACTAAATTTTTCAATTATAAAAATTTTCAAACATACAGAAAATAGTATAAAGCTCACCAGTTAGCCCTCCTCTCAGATTTAACAAATGTTAATTTTGGCTATAATTGCTTTAGATCTGTTTTCAAATAAAATATTAAAGACATAACCAAAGCCCTACAACCCCCATCCCTTTTCCCTTTCTACTTCGAGAGATGTATGTAAACTCAATTTTACTATTATTATTATATTTAAAATTTTATTTTATTGTTGAGAGTATTACAGATGTCCCCCATTTTTCCCTCTTTTCTCCCCTCCACCC